GCATCAGGGAAGGGGCAGGGGGTGTGGGGCCTGACAAAAAAACAAAGTTTACATTTGTAGGGTATCTCTGGCAGCTTTTTGTAAAGATGCTCAACCGCGACGTGCTGCTCTTTGGAACGGTTGCTGGATCTGTGCTGGCTGCCTTGACTGTTGTGTTTTATCACCTCTACGGCTGGGGGGTTTTTGGTTTTTGGAGCATGCCTACCTCTACCACCTGACCAGGAGAGACATCCGTCATAACTTCTCTCCCTATTTCTACATGTTGTACTTAACTGCAGAGAGCAAATGGAGTTTTGCCCTTGGGCTCGCAGCTTTCCTGCCCCAGCTGCTGTTGCTCCTGGTTGTGTCCGTAGCGTTTTACAGAGACCTTGCCTTCTGTTGTTTCCTGCACACTGCTATTTTTGTGAGTTTTAACAAAGTATGCACATCCCAGTACTTTGTCTGGTATCTCTGCCTTTTGCCCCTTATAATGCCTAGTGTTAAGATGTCCTGGCGTCGTGGTGTGCTGCTTCTCTTTCTGTGGTTTGTTGGACAAGGCCTCTGGCTTGCTCCTGCGTACTTTCTGGAGTTCAAAGGATATAACACTTTTATATATATATGGTTGGCAGGCTTGCTTTTCCTTTTTATTAACAGCTTCATAATTGTTCAGATAATTTCACATTATCAAAAAGAAACACAAGTTGCAAAAAAACTCAAACAACAGTAATAAACAGGCCAAAATCCAGAAACAGCCCTACTGTCTTTGATAAGGTTTCTCATACCACCGGTACTGTCTTTAATATAAATGCGTGCACATTGTACTCAAGTACATTGTAGGTAAATTATACTTTGTCATGCCCTGGGGACACTGATTGGCCTCAGTTGTCCTGAAACAGCACCAGGCCTGCCATGCGCCATGTCTGCAGGTGTGCCTGTCACCCAAGTGGACCTTGAAACAGCATTGTGACCTTGTCTCCAGCACTGTCTCCAGCCCTGTCTCCTGCTGCTCCTGACTGGACTCCCTGGAAGGACTTTGCAGCCATTCATCGCTGACCATGTCTGGGGCTGTGGGTGGACTCTGTTCCCAGCACCCGTCTCCGCCGGCCATCTCCAGACAGTGTGTCCCCTGGTCAGTGAGGGTATGGCCTGTGCCGGGGTCACCCCCTGCTCCTGCTCATACCTGCTCAGGGAGCAGGCCTGATCTTCTTCTTCCCCGGCATCCTTTTTCTCATTGCTCCTTTACTTGATGAGAACAGTGGCCTCTGTCTAGGAAAGC